CCTCCTCCTCATCATCATCATCATCATCATCATTATCATCATCATCCACCACCATCACCGTCATCATCATCATCATCATCATCATCATCATCATCATCATCATCATCGTCATCATCATCATCATCAGCATCATTCTCATCATCATCATCACAACCACCACCATCACCTCAACCACCATCACCACCACCACCATCATCACCATCAGCAACAGCATCATCATAATCATCATCATCATCAAAATCATCATCATCGCCATCATCATGCTGCATGCCTCCAGCTATGCTTCTACATATCGATGTTAGGTTGCTTTGCCGGGATAATTTTTTTCTAGGGAGGGGGATGCGCGCAGCGAAGTGCGACCGGGAGATAATGGGGGTCTTTTTCAGAAAAGTTTCAGAAACCAGACCAGGCAGACCTTGGCATTCTCTCACGCCTCAACGTGCACAAAGCACTATGGCGGATATAAACGGACTTCCAGGCCAGGACGCTGCGAACCCGGACTTGGCCCGGTCCAGCGGGAGAGGACGAGGAGAGGATACTGCGTCGACCCACGGATGCATCTCTCTCGGGTGCGCCAGTGTCCTGGTCTATCAAGGCCCCCGTTGACGGGGCCCTGACCAGAGGCCACCGGAGACCTCAAAGGCCTCGGGAGGCCTCCAGCGGCGAGGTACGCCTGCTGACGCACCTGAGGACCGTCCACAGGTACTGCCTCTACTGCGGGTGCGCCTTCGAGTCCGCCGAGGACCTCGAGCGGAACTGCCCTGGCTTCACCGCCGAGGACCACGACAGAGCGCCCGGCGTGGCGGAGAGGACCTCGGCCGGCGCCTCCCTGGAGCCCGCTGGGCAGGTGGAGGTTCTCGAGGAGGACCCCCTGGACGCCTTCATGCGCTCGCAGGAGGCGCAGCTCGCCCAGGACCTGCGGCCCCGGAAGAGGAAGGGCGGCGCCGAGCGGGGCTGGACGTTCGAGCAGCAGCAGCAGCAGAACAAGAATGCGCTGAAGATGGGCAGGCGCAGATAGCCTGGCCCAGCACCCCTGCGGAGCCCCAGGCTAGGGGAACAAAAAGTGACACAAACATAAAAACTCGGAGGTCCGCGCGGACTTCTCGGATCGGCGCTGGGGCCCCCCGGCGGCGCCTCCGGCGCCGCCCATGGCGCGCTCCGCGCGCAAGGGAGGGGGGTCCAGCGCCGATCCGAGAAATCCGCGCGGACCTCCGATTTTTTATGTTTACGATATTTTTTTTCCCCTAAAGAGTGCGCTGAAGATGGGCAGGCGCAGATAGCCTGGCCCAGCGGCACCCCTGCGGAGCCCCAGGCGGCGCCCAGCCATGGCGGCCCAGGCCCCGGCCCGCGAGCGCGATCGGCGTCACGGCCAGATTCCTGAGCGACCACGACGGCTGTCGGCGTGCGGGCTGCTCCCGCTGCAGATGCAGCGGCGCCTCCCCTCTCTGTCATTACTGGCGAGGAGACCTGGCGAGAGCGTCGATTCGTGGAGGCACGAGATTGAGCTCTTACGCCGCGAGCTGGCATCGGTCGGAGCACATGGCGTCGCACCTGTCAGGTCACCAGGGCCAGATTCCGGGCAGCATGCTGAGAGCGCTGGTGTTCGTAGGAGTAGGGGCGCTCCGCTCGAGATAGGTAAGGGCCTGACGCACATGGATGATGCCGCACTCGCATTGCTGCCCACCATCGTCCGCTTCGACAAGGTCCAAATTCTGGAAGCCGAAATATGTAGCGCTGCGTATTCTGGCCGGATCAGCGCAAGCGGCACCCATCTCCCTGTGGTATCCTCACGAAGGTTGTATGTGGTCCAGGCCACCCAACATGACAGGTGGATTCCAATGCATTGCTGTGGGGCGTGGGTACTACAGTCTCTGGCAGGGAGTGTCGCATTGTCTCCCACAGGGGGTATTTCATTCTCTCCCGAGTGTTGATGTGCTCGACTCGTGCTCGACAATCACAGCTCCCCTGATGCGCCGACTGATTTACACCCTGGCCTGATACTTCTTGGCTTCCCATAGCTGCTCCGCTCTTCCACTTCTTGCTCATGTAAGGGAAGCTGTGGCGTCCCCCCATCAGCATCATCATCAGCATCGTTACCATCATCATCATCATCATCATCATCATCATCATCATCATCATCATCATCATCATCATCATCATCAGCATCAGCATCAGCATCAGCATCAGCATCAGCATCATCATCATCATCATCATCATCCCAACCATTATCTGCCCGTCTACCCGAGCACGGGGCATCCTGATCCGAGCCTCGAGATCTGGGGGACTTCAGCGGCCTCCGGAGGCTCAGGTCTCGGAAGAAGCACAAGTCCTGCACCTCCAGAGGTCCAGCCTGATTTCTCGGCTCGGCGCCGGCCCCGGCGCTCGCATCGCGCCAGGGGCGGCGGGGGAGGCGCCGCCGAGGGAGTTCAGCTAGGGGGCCACACGCGAACCCTGCCCCTACCCCCCACGATTTCTGAGGGGGAGGGCGGGGTTCACTTCGCTCGGGAGCTCCCGAGCGAGAGGAGCCCCGCCCTCCCCCTCAGAAATCGTGGGGGGCAGGGGCAGGGCTCGCATGTGGCCCCCGATCGGCGCCGATCTGCGACGTCCGCGCGGGCCTCCCGAAGGGTTCTGGCGGTGCCGCGGTCTCTCTGCCCCCCCCCCCCCCCCTCCGGGAGCCTCCGGAGGCCGAGGCAGGGCCGAGCACGGAGCGCTCCAGGTTTTTCTCCCTCTCCGTTCTCGGCGGCAACCTTGGATTATGTCGGGCGTGTCCCCCTACAGGGGGATTTGCGACGAAGGATAACAAAAATACCCCAAACATATCCCCCCAAAAAGGTCAAACATACTCCACACATAGTCCCCAGACTATTTTTGGATTATGTTTGGATTTTTTTTGGGGGTATGTTTTATTCTTCGTCGAAAATCCCCCTGTAGGGGTCAGGCCCGACTTAAGCCTGGGGGGAAGTGAGAAGGGGCGGGCCTCCTCAGAAGGCTCGGAAGCCCCTGGAAGCCTCCCCGAGGGCGCAGAGCACGGCCCAGACGGCGCGAGGGCTCCTGAGAAGCCCCGCCGCCTTCTGAGGAGGTCCTCTCCCTCTCAGTTCCCCCCTCGCTCGCCGCGGACGTCTGCAGGAAGGCAAAAATCAGGAGGGGAAAAAACACACAGACACAATTATTTGTCGATTTCCAGGAAAATATGAGAAAATATGGGAAGTGCGGGGGAAGACACAAACCCAGAAAATATGGGAAAATATGGGGAATCTTTTTATTTGTGTGTGTATTTATTTGTGTGTCCCAGGGCCCCTTCATTTGTGGAGGTCGCCGGGGGTCTCTGCGGCGCCGGGAAGACGTTTTCTCACGGCCGGATCAGGGTATACGATGAAGACGTACTCCAGACTTCGTAATAAAAGGGAGGGGGTCTGGACCCTCCAAGACAAGCCATTTCAGACCTCCCCCGTGGGAGAACCCTCCAAAACATCGCCCCCAGACCCCCCCAGGCCCTCCAAGATAGCCTGGAAGAGACCCCCCCCGAAAGGAGACCCCCCTCCCTTTATTACGAAATCTGGAGTAGCCTCACTGAGGTCCCCGTCTTCGCATGAGGGATCATACTTCTGGGCGGCCCGGTTCGACGCACCTGCAGAAAAGACCCCCTAATTATCCCTGATGTCCTCTGGTCCTCCTAACTCTTGGGCCCCCTCCCAGAGGGTTAGGGGCTCCTTTTTTCGGTCGATCAGTATATGGTCGAGGTCGGTTCGGGGATGGTGCCGTGATGTGCAGGAGGAAAAGAAGCACACAGACACTATTAATCTTCGATTCCCCAGAAAGTATGCGAAACTATGGGAAGTGGGGGGAAGGCAGAAACCCAGAACATGTGCGAAAACATGGGGAATCTTTTTATTTGTGTGTATCTATTTGTGTGTTCTGGGGCCCCTTTGAATGTTCTTCGTGCCTGTCTGATGTTCTCGTGCCTCCCGGGGGGAGGGGGCCCTCGAATGCCCTCCACGTGTCGGCCGGCGGAGGGCCCCGTGGTCTCGAGGGGTGCGCTCCTCTGTCCCAGGTCCGACGGTACACCTGGAGAGCCCCGAAATCATCGGGGGGTAACTCGGGTCAGGGCCGGCTCGGGTTCGCTTCTCGGGAAGCCGAGCCCGCGTTACCCCGGACCCGAGCTACCCCGAATATCTTTCGGGCGTCCAGAGCCCCACATCATCGGGGGTAACTCGGGTCAGGGCTAACTGTTAGCGGCTAACTCGGGTTCGCTTCTCGGGAAGCCGAGCCCGACTTACCCCGGACCCGAGCTACCCCGAGCCCCACATCATCAGGGGCAACTCGGGTCAGGGCCAACTCGGGTTCGCTTCTCGGGAATCTGAGCCCGACTTACCCCGGACCCGAGCTACCCCGGATCTTTCGGGCGTCCAGAGCCCCACATCATCGGGGGTAACTCGGGTCAGGGCTGACTCGGGTTCGCTTCTCGGGAAGCCAAACCCGCGTTACCCTGGACCCGAGCTACCCCGGGTATTTCGGGCGTCCAGAGCCCCAAGTCCTCAGGGGTAACTCGGGTCAGGGCTCACTCGGGTTCGCTTTTCGGGAGTCCAAGCCCGCGTTACCCCGGACCCGAGTTACCCCGGATAACTCGGGCGCCCAACACCTAGAGAGGTGGAGATGGGATCTTTGCACAGCGGGCTTCTGTGCTCACCCGGAGCGTATGCCCATGGGGCGCTCGTCTCTTGGTACTGAACAGGAAGGAGCAGGAATGAACAAGGGTGTGCTTCCGGTAATGAACAGGAATGTTTTTTTGTTGGGGGAGGAGGAGGGGGAGGAGGAGGAGGAGGAGGAGGAGGAGGAGGAGGAGGAGGATGAGGAGGAGGAGAAGTATTGAGCGCGAATACTGAGCTTCATCCGCTGCCTCATGGGTTTGTCAGTCTGCCTTCCCCTCCTCCTCTTCTCCCCTCTCCGTGTCCTCTCTCCTCCAGCTCCTGCCTCCCTGTTCTCTCATCTTCTTCCTTCGCAGCCACTTAAGTCCTCGGCGGTTTCTCGCCCTAGCTGGGACAACAACTCTCGCTTTCGTGAACCATCCTACATCTGCCGAGAATCCGTGCGGGCATTGCCAGTCCGCATGGAGGCATTATCACAATGTCACGTACCACGCGCTGGACTGCGCGTTGTCGTCCAGCGAAGCTTCATCGGAGTGGTCGACCAGTCTCCGGAATCGACCATCAAGCGGGCGTACTCCGCACCGGCCAGGACGTTTCCAGCTGCGCTGGCCGCGTCGAGCAGGGAGGTCAGGCTTTCTTCTAGCGAACAGGAAGATGAAGCCGAGTGCTTCGATAACCCTGGTGACGCGGCCTGGCAGAAGTACGAGGCGAAGAGCCGCGCGGGCCATGAGTTGAAGAAAACGGTGGCTATCAGGAGTATCCCCCACCACCCCACGCGCGATCAGCTCCTGCAGCACCTCAACGCGCGGGGCTTCGCGGGTAGGTCTGACTTTTTGTATCCAGCTGCCTGCGGCCAACCCCGCCATCGTGCCATTGCAGCAGTGCAGCAGGGAGGTTCAGTGCCCTGATGAAGTTGCACGGGCTTCAACGAACATCCGCTCTTTGTCAGCCTCGTTATCTTCCTTCTCCGTTCTCATTCTCCTATTCTCTCGTTCCTTCAAAGGCGTCTAGGAGGTTTACTATCAGTTTTTTTGTTGAATTGGGGTGGCCCTTTTGAAGGCCAGTGTTGAGGCCTTTTAGGTGTCTCGGGTTTGTCTTGGGCGCCGTGGCTCTACTGATCTCTCCCGACGCAGCTCCGTGGAGCCATTTTGGGGTGGTTTGTTCGGGTCCTCTGAGGCCGTCTTGGAGCTCTCTTGGGGCAGCTCTTGGCGGTTTGGGGGAGTTCTTGGGCCTTTGCACCGCACAGCTCACACAACATAAGTAATATTACACCGTAGAACGGTCGCCACATAGAGCACGCTACATAGCTTGCACAGCCTAGCTCATACCACACAGCTCACACCGCATGGCTTACATAGCACATATTGCAGCATATATATATATATATATATATATTGCACAGCATAGCTCAAACGACATACCCCAAGCGACACATTTTACACACTATGGCGTCGACTACATAACTTACGCCGCATGGCGTACACAGCATACATCATACATCATTCCTCACACATATATATATATATATAGATGGCACACCGTAGCTTAGCTGAACCCTCATTGCTTACACAACATAGCCCATGCCTCATACATTAGACCACATGCCACTTCCACAGCGCATGAACTGCTTTGGGTCCACGCTGGCTAACATTAATGTTTCATAGGTTGTTCAATACTTTGATCGGTCTAGTTTTATTCCGTGTTTCCGACCGCCCAAGACGCCTGAAGAAGCTTCCAATATCGCGCCTACACCGCCAATGGGGGACCCACGAGGGCCCCAAGACGGCCAAAGACCGCCTCAGGGTGGCCGAAGAGGCCTCCAAGACGGCCCGAGAGGCCCCCAAGATGTCCGTTGAGGAGCTGAATGGGGTATTCCTGCAGCCTTCCCCCTCATGACGGACCCCCAACATTCCCCGAACCCCCAAGATTTCCCCATATGCCCCATGACTTCCCCAAGGTCGTTCTCGTCCCCAGGAGAGATCCAAGAGGGCCCTCCGGGGCAGTCCGGGGGATGTCCAGGGGGCGGGGGGGACAGCATCGGGGGTGGGGACCAACGGCTGCTTCCACGCACGTCCACCTGTACGTAGCTGGGCACCCCTCGCCCTCGAGGAGGAGGAGGAGGAGGAGGAGGAGGAGGAGGAGGAGGAGGAGGAGGAGGAGAGGGGGAGGAGGAGGAGGAGGAGGAGGAGGAGGAGGAGGAGAGGAGGAGGAGGAGGATACACCAACGTGCCGGCTTCCACACCCGCAGCTCCTGTTGTGATTCGGGCACGGCGCTGCGCCCACGGCCGCCGACCGGGCGGAACCTCGACACGCGCTCGGCCAGCGCAAGGGGCGCCCACGGGGCGCTCCTCCCCTTCCTCTCCCTCCTCCCCCTCCTCTCCCTCCTCCCCTCCTCTCCCTCCTCTCCCTCTCCTCCTCCCTCCTCTCCTCCCTCCCCTCTCCTTCCTCCTCCCCTCCTCTCCCTCCTCTCCTCCTCTCCCTCCTCTCCCTCCTCTCCCTCCTCTTCCTCCTCCCCCTCCTTCCCCTCCTCCCCCTCCTCCCCCTCCTCTCCCTCCTCCCAGCTGCCCACCAGGCGACACCTCGCCACACCCATCCAGTTGCGCATCGACAGGAGGAAGAACTCCTGGTGCAAGCACCGTTTTGGCTGGGGCTGGAAGCAGACAGCGCGCGGCCAAGGGGGGTCGCCCACAGAGCCTGCAGAACCCGTCCAGAGCGTCTTACGTGCATTCTAGTACGCCCCAGCGTGCCGAAGGCACGGCGACGGCTTTACCCACCGACTTCGCGAAGTGCTGGAATGCCGGTGACGCGTACGTAGGCCTCACGAGGCCAGCGCACACCCCGCGCACCTTCGCCGAGCTCCACGGCCTCAGCGGGGGCGAGCCCGGCGCGGGGCGCGCCGTCGTGGGCTGGAGCCGGACCGAGGGCTCGGCCTCGCGCCTAGCGCCCACGAAGAGGGCGCAGCGCCTCTGGCGCCTGCGGACCCGCTGCGGGCCGCACGGGCGCGGCGTGGCCTCGGCCGGGGCCAGCGGCGTCCTGGGCCCGCACGCGCAGCGTGCCGGGGAGGCGCTGGGCACGCCCGCGGAGTTCACCACCCACCAAACCACCCCAACCCAACCCGAAGGCTCAGATTTACCCTCGATTTCCAGTGGGGGGGGGTCGGGGAACATTGGAAAAACACATATGGAACCCGTACCCCCCCAACCCGAAATTCGAGTCTTCGGGTTGCGTTGGGGTTGTCTGGTAGGTAGTCAGGAGTCGTGCACGCTGCTTCCCGGGCTGGTCAGGGCGCCGGGCGGCACGCATCAAAGCATGGAGGCCATCCTGGCCAGCCCGCTCCTCGCTGGCCTGCAGGCCTCCCCCGCGGGCCCTGGCCGGCGGCGCGAGAGGGTGGCCAGGGCGGACCGCTTCGAGGCCGAAGCGATCAGCGAGCGCTCCACCATGGCCTCGGCGTCGGCCCGCAGTACTGCTGCCTGGGCTGGCCTGCAAGGCGGCGACCTCGACGACCGGTGCAGCGAGCCCTCCACGCAGGCGCCAGGCTACTTCAGTGGCGCTCTCGCGTCAGACGGGTCCAGTGGGGCTTCGGACAGCCTGGCTGTTGGGCGGCACGACTCCAGAGGTTCAGCCCAGCTATGGTCGGGCTCGATGCTCACGCAGGGGCTGATGCTGGCGGTGCCGGAGGAGAGTGGCTCGATGCTCGCACAGGGTCTGGCGCAGGATGAGCTTTTCCTCCCTGCTACCAGTCCGTTCACACACAGCTCTGCATCGCGACAGAGTGCGCTTCTCCGTCATGGCGAGATTCGGTGTGTGCGGCTTTAATCATTGAGAGCACTCCTGAGAGCCGGGCATGCGTTATGTCGGTCGTAGTGATGTGCCTGAGAATGTTACGCCTCTCCCAGAGAACGCTTACTATCCACATACGCCGGTTCTGGAAAGGCAGATCCTGAGCTCATGAGGTGCACACGCCTTGGCACAGCCATGGAAAAGTTTGCACCGATCCTGGGCCCAGAACTGGTCTAGCCAGGACGGGTGCATTTGCATACTTGGCGTTTTCCCTCATTCCTTCTGCGGAAAGTCTCTTGATGCAGTTAGCGTTTCCCAGGAGAGAGCTTGTATGCATCTCAATCATGTGCGACTGTCTCAGGCAGCTTCTGAGGCTTGCGCTGGCGCACCAGGCAGGCGCACGCACGTCAGGGAGCATCAATGGCGTTTCTCTCCTTCTCCCTCCTCCTCGCATAGCATGCTCGTCTCGATTCTTTTTTCCACAGGGAGGTGTGACACAGTGTTTGAGTACCCGCTGCCTCGTGTAGAGGCCGACGCACGTTGAGTCGAAGGCTCCGTCTTTTTGCAACAGTAATTTGGTGAGCATCTTCCACCTGATGAGGCCTGGCATTCGTGGGGCATGCGCGTTTCGACCTGGGAGGGTGGTCAGTACGCGCTGTTCCGTGTAGTGTCGCGCCCCACCTTCTCCTCCCCCCCTCGTCCTCATCCTCCTTCTCCGTTTCCTCCTCCTCCTCCTCCTCCTCCTCTTCCTCCTCCTCCCCCAATCCTCCTCCTCCTCCTCCTCCTCCTCCTCCTCCTCCTCCTCCTCCTCCTCTCCTCCTCCTCCTCCTCCTCCTCCTCCTCCTCCTCGTCCTCGTCCTCTCCTCCTCCTCCTCCTCCTCCTCCTCCTCCTCCTCCTCCTTGACCCTTGCCTTGCCCGCACCTGCCTGCAGGGCTGCTCGCTGGCGTGCCCGCCGTGTACCTGTAGAGGCGGGAGGGCGGCCCTGCGCACCGCACCGCCCCGCGCTCTGCCGTCCCTCGCTGCCGAGAGCTGCGCCGTGGCCCGACCCCTCGGCGAGAAAAGGCCAATCCCCGGGGCCGCGGAGGAGTGGGGCGACAAGCGCGAGGAGGAGGAGGAGGAGGAGGAGGAGGAGGAGGAGGAGGAGCGCCAGGCGATCGTGTCCTCGGCGCCTGGATGCAGGGGCCTCCCCATTCCAAGGCTACGGCGCAGCCTCATGTGCCGCAACTCTCGGCGGGGCAGATCAAGGTCTATGCGTGCATGTCCCAGGAGGATTTCGAGGTCGCCACCGAGGGCTGGCCGTCGAAGCTCGTTGCCAAGATCAAAGTGCAGCGCGCTCTCCAGAGCGACGAGCCCAAGGCCAGCGCCAAGGCTGCAAGGCTCGAGCAGGACACGGCCTCGGACAAGAAGATCAAGGCTCAGCGCGCCTACGACAGGGCGCAGGAGGCAGTGGGGAGAGCTGTGGCTACTGCAGTCAAGCTCAAGGCGGAGTTGGCCGCAGCCGTGCAGGCTGAGAAGGAGGCAGCTGCGCGTGCCGCTGCCGCCTACGCCACCATGGCGCCCGCCGACCCGCTCGGCCAGCTCCAGAAGCTCGTGGCGGCGCTCGAGCAGTCCGAGCCGCTCAAGGAGGTTGCGGCCACGCTCGCCGGTGTCGTCCCCGCGCTCCGCGAGGCGCTGCCTGCATCCGCGGCTCCCGCCGTTCCTCCAGCTGGTGGTGCTCATCCTGCTGGCGGGGCTGACGATGCCGTGCCGCCCGCTGGGGCACAGTCCCCCAGTGCCGACGCCCTCGCAGCGCAGGAGCGCGCCAGTCTTGCACACCAGGAGCTGCTCCAGTATCTCGCCGAGAACGAGGACGAGGGCAGCGCCATGGTTGTCGAGCTGGGCGAGAAGCACGGCGTCAAGCACAGTCTGGTCGCCGACATCTTCAGCCAGGTGCGCGTGCAGGCCTCCAAGAAGCTGCGGACCGATGACGCGCCCCTGGCAGCAGGTGGCGCCCAGCAGGTTTGACAAGCAGAGGTGGAGGATGATCATCAGCAACGTCACGGGCCTCCTCGGCCTGGAGGCTCTTCTTGGGCACTCCGTTGCGCAGGGTTGCGATGCGATGGCCGTTCAAGAACACCACGTTGAGCAAGGGCAGTGTGCGTCTTGGGAGGCCAAGTTGAAGGGTACGGGCTGGCGCGCCAGGATGGAGCCAGCTCTGGCCACAGGGAGAGGAGGCAGCAGCGGCGGTCTTCTTCAAGCAGTCCCTGGGCACCAGGGGCTGGCGGAGGTGGAGCATGTTCCCGTCACCATCGCCAACGGGAGGGCTTCGGCGCTTCACGCTTCAGGTCTCACGCCGTGCGGGTTCCTGTGGGTCAATGTTTACCTGCACGACGGTGAGCAGTTGGGCCCGAGGAACTGGGCCGTCCTCAATGCAGTTGGCGAGGCTATCAAGATCGCCAACATGCCGTACATTATCAATGGTGACTTTCAGATGATTCCTGATCAGCTTAATGGTTCAGGTTGGGTTGAGGCCATCGATGGCGCCATCGTTGCCCCGTCAGTGGCGACCTGCAGCAATTCGGCTCAGTCGAAAGGGCGCGTGCTGGACTTCTTCATTGCCTCTGCCACCCTGCAGTACGGCGCCACGGCAGAGCTTGTGCATGGGGTCGGCACCAAGCCTCACAGCCCTGTGCTCCTCACCCTTCTGCCCAAGGTGGCGCAGCAGCTGTGTTACCGAGTGGCTCGGGTGCCAAAGCGGTTCCCAGTTGAGTTGCCATTTGGATGTCGCCGTCATGACCCCGATCAGTACTGGGCAGACGCGCAGGTCTCCATGACGGCTGCGGGCAATATTGATGGCATGTGGCAAGAGTGGATTCGTGCTGCCGAGAAAGACTGGGCCGACATCTACGACGTCAGCCTGGACGAACACCCTGAGTATGCTGGGCGCGCTGAGGGACCTTCCTTCGTCACGCGCAAGGCGCCCAGCCCTGGCAGGCTGCCCTATCCGAGGCTGAGTCCTGAGGCTCTCTGGTGGAGGCTGGTGGCGCAGTGTTTCCACTCCATGGGCTCCTGGCAACCACCCTGTCGTCGAGTACCAGATCTACGTCTTGCTTCTCTGCTTCAACGTCAAGACAGTAAGGTAGAGGCGCATGTTGCTGCGCCTTGGAAGGCGCTGCTCTCTTTTGCTCAGGTGTTGCCGTACGATTTAGTCTCTGCGCTCTCTGTGGTGGCCAATGTTAAAGCTGAACAAGCGTTCAGGCAAGCTGAGAAAAGCAAGCGCGACGGTTGGCGGTCCTGGGTCCAGCGTCATAGCATCAACGGAGGAGCGGCGCTCTTCGCCACCTCCAGGCCGCCTGTGCCGTGGCACGCCAGCTCTTTCACTTTCGCCAGCGGAGCTGGCGTGCCTGCGCAGCCTGCAACCATGCAGCAGGAAGTTGATTTATTGGAGGAGGAGTGGTCGCACTGGTGGAGGGTGGGGGCGGAGGAGTCCAGCATCCCGTGGCCGAGCGATCTAGGGCCTGAGTTTCCTCGCCCCAGTCTCCAAGATTTGAAAGAATGTCTGGGCACCTTCCCACGTGCTTCAGGCTGCGGCTTTGATCAGGTTACGCCGCGGCAACTCCTGGCCCTTTCCGATACTGGCCTCGAGTTGCTGCTGGACCTGCTTCAATAGATCGAGCGTGCTGCCTCGTGGCCCAGGTTCTGGACCAAGGTCGTTTTCCTGGCCAAACGGGAAGGTGGCCTGAGGCCAATTGCGCTAATTCACATGTTAGCCAGACTTCAGGGACGGCTCAGGCGTCCCCTGATCAAGGACTGGCAAGAGGCCAACCCACGGCCGTACTGGTGGTCCACCAGCGGTCGCAGCAGCGACAAGCTAGTCTGGATTCAAGCAGCTGGAGCTGAATGGGCTGCCACCAAAGGCTTCAGCTCAGGCTTGGTGTTGCTCGATTTGCAGAAGGCTTTCGAGCACGTCTCTCACGCAGCGCTCCTCTCTGCGGCGCAGCGCACGAGTTTTCCGATTCCCCAGCTGAAGCTCCTCGTGGAGCTCTACAGGTCTCCTCGTGTACTTTCCCTCAACGACGCTGTCTCGCAGCCACTGGCCGCGAACCAAGCGGTGCTGCCAGGATGTCACTTTGCAACGGTCATGCTGCAGCTAGTGCTATTACTTCCTGTAGATCGAGTGTGCGCCACGTTCCCTCGCGTCGACTTGGGTATAGTTGTAGATGACTTTGGTTTGCAAAAGATAGGGCGAGCTATCGATGTAGAACACGAGCTTTCCAATGCCACCACCCTGCTGCACACCGAACTCAGAAAGATTGGTCTCGTCGTGCACAGTCGGAAGGGTCGTGTCGTCGCGTCGGATAAAGTGTTGAGAGATCGGATTGTGCAGCGGGTGAAGTCTGTCAAGTTAAAAGGGGTCTCCAGTGAGCGCAACTTGGGGATCGACTTTGCCTGTGCTAGAGTTATGGCCAAAGAGACTCGTGCGGCTAGGATGCGTCCAGCTATTGCTCGGGCGCGGAAGCTGCACAGTTTCGCCAAAGTGATCAAGAAACGACGTGTGCATCATATGGTGTCGGCTGCTTGCTTGGCCTCCCTCAAGTATGGGGGCAACGTGTATGGCAGCAATAACACTCAGCTGCGCACCGCTCGTGCGATGCAAGCTTATGTGCAAGTCAACAGTTTAGCAGGTAGATCTATTACGCTACTTTTAATGCTTGCGGAGGTCCCGCGGTGTGATCCTGTGTATCGCCTCAACATGGACCTGCTGCTTGCCTTCGCCAGCGCTGTTTGGGACGTGTGGCTCCCTACCAAGCTGCTCGAGCAAGGCATCACTGATGCCTATGAGCGAATCCAGCAGAGTGGCGACGCCTGGGGTAGCGTTCGCGGCCCTTTCTCGGCCTGTGCTGCCACGGCGGTCCGCCTTGAGATCCTGGTCCAAGGGTTCCAATGGTCTCACTCTGTGCTTGGACGCATCTCTGTCCAAGAAGTCTCGCCTCGCACGGTGGGGCTCTGGCTGGTGCGTGTCATTGATTTTTGGCTTTGGTCCCGCGTCGCGCTGACAGAAAAGATGCCAGAGCTGCAAGACGGATGCTTGTTTCAGCCCTTGGTGTCGCTCATGCAAGGTAAGGAGCTCTTGCCTACTGAAAAAGGTTACCTCAAGAGTGTTGTTTCAGGCGGTCAGTGGCCACAGCATCGACAGTGGAGCACTGGAATGACTGATTCGCCTGTGTGCTTGGCTTGCCGTCAGAACCCGTGCACGCTCAGGCACAGGCGCACGGCTTGTGGTATGCAGGAGGAGGTGATGGAGGCTGAGGATATCCCGTCCTACCTCGGCCCTCTGTCGCGTGCCGCCGCCGCCTCCCCTCTCGCCAACCTCTTTGCTGAGAGGCTGCTTGTGCCTGCTGCTGTGCTGCCTGCCTCCACCAAACCTCCCGAGAGATGGTTCGGCGGCGGTCCCACAGAGATGGATGGGCACATTTTCTTGGACGGCTCCTGGCACGACCAGGATCTGCCCGCCCACGCTCAGGCCGCGGGGTGGGCCGTCGTCGCGGTCGAAGCTGACTCGGCCAAAGTTCGGTCTGTGCTCGTCGGAGTTCTGCCTGGCACGATCGTAGACATCGATGCGGCCGAGCTCACTGCCTTCCTCAGGGGTCTCCAGCATGCCACCCCTGGGGCGACTTTTTACACCGATTCGAGTTTCGTTTTCGAGGGCGTGGTTTTTCGCGGTCGCAGGCACTGC